AGCAGGAGAGTACCTAAGACAGAAGTCACAGTGTTGTTTTATAACTTAATCTGAGAAGTGTCTTATGAATGTCTTTTTGTAGTATATGTTTTCATTTACCTTGAGTAAATACCTAGGAGTGGGATGGCTAGATCATAGAGTATGTGTGTGTTTATAAGAAAACAGCTAACAATTTCCCAAAGTGATTGTACCATATTATACTCCCACCAGCAATGTATGAAAGTTCAGCCAATCAACTTGTTGACTTGAGCACTGTATGAGTGCAAAAAGTGTCTAAGAAATGATCCTTATCTATGTACACAGTGTCGTCAAGTTAGATCTGACTTATAGCGACCGCTCCTTGGGTTTCCAAAGAGGTGTCACTACGGAAGTAGATTGCCCAACTTTCCTTCCGAGGAATGGCTGGTGGGTTTGAACTGCCAGCCTTCTGGTTAGCAGTCAAATTCCTTAGGCACTACACCACCAAAGCTTACTATAACTTATCCTTATCTAAAAAGCTGACAATGTAATTTGAGAGGTTAATACACATGAAACAAAGAAAAATGAGTATTAAATGATACAAAGCTGATTTTATATTCAGGAAGAATCATGCAGTCTTAAGAAACTGAGAGGCAGGATCTCCCTCCCCTTCACACACCTCTCCATAGAAGTTTGTTGGGTCATGTGCTGCAGCTCACCTTATCTGAGGGGAAGAAGGGAAGGAGGGGCTACATGAACTCTGTTCCTTATAGTTAAGATTTCTCCTTTGAGGAATTTGCAGGGCAGGACCATGCACAGTCACTGAAATTATCAAGAAGTTTTACCTCATTATGAACTATTAGGTAATATATGGAGGGAGTCGAAACAGGCCTGGATTAGTGATGTAGACAAGATTATTTTTAAAAATCAGTACTAAGGTACGTATTTCATGTTTTCTTACACATCTCATGCAGTGGTTAAAGTGCTTGGCTATTGACCAAAATGCTGGTGGTTTGAGCCCATCAGCTCCTCCACAGGATAAAGATCTATTAGTCTGTTTCCATAAAGATTTACAGCCCTGGAAACTCTACTGTGTCCTATAGTGACACTATTAGAATCGACTGAACAGCGGGTTTGCACATCACAAATTATGATGTTTCAAAAAGTAACTAACCTTTTTTGACATGACACTGTACATCTGTATGCCTTTACTTTTTCCTTTGGTAACAGTGTTTCTGATAGCAAAGTATGGTCTCTGGAACGTTAGTGATTTTGACTCCTCTGATAAGAAACTTTTTCTTTGTAACAGCGCAGAGTGCCACAAGGTGTCACTCTTCAGCCGAAAAAGTATTCCAATTGGGTTCCATGTTGTTGTTATGTGCCATCGAGTTGGACCGGAGTCATAGCGACCCCTCCTTGGGTTTCCGAGGCAGTATCACTATGGAAGTAGATTACCCCATCTTCCTTCCGAGGAGTGGCTGGTGGGTTTGAACCACCAGCCTTCTGCTTAGCAGTCAAGTGCCTTAGGCACTACGCTACCTAACAGGTAATCCCAGCACTATATACAAAAGACTCATCAGTGCTTTACCCAATCAAATACAGTTTCCTCGGGAAGAGAGAGTTTCCATTTGTAAAATGTATAATTTACCTCGTCTTCTTTGTGGAACAGGTTAATATTTCTTCGTAAGTACTAATTGGTTTTCATTATAAATTTATATTGGTTAGTTGAGAAACCCACTATGTCACCTGTCAGTTTGTCCTGTGGTGGCTTGTATGTTGCTACGATGCTAGGAGCTATGTGACTGCTATTTCAGATACCAGCAGGGTCACCCGTGGTAGACAGGCTTCTGTGGAACTTCCAGACTAACACTAGGAAGAAAGACCTGGTGATCCACATCTGAAAATTAGCCATTGAAAACTTTACAGTTTAAATGAGAATATTGACTGATAATAGTGCGGAGAGCCCCCTAGGTTGAAAACCACTCAAAATTCACAGTGACTGCAACAATTGACCTGAATCAACTAAATGGCAACTAGCAACAACAGTTAAAATATAACTACCTTTGAAAGTGGTAGTAGTGAAATACAAAGCTCAATATAAGGATCATTCATGACTGGAAGTCAGGTGGTTTGTGCCTTTATCACTAAATAGATGTATGGCCTTAGACAAGTCATTTAACTCCTCTGATTTTATCAGGGTGGTATAAGCTTCTTAAGTCAACACACTGCTGTATGTTGCAAATGCTTAATGCACTTGTTTGCTGACTGAAAGGTCAGAGGTTCAAGTCCACCCAGAGGTGCCTTGGAACAAAGACCTGGTGATCTACTTCCAAAAAATTAGGTACTGGAAACCCTGTGGGTCACAGTTCCAATCTGACACACATGGGGTCACCATGAATTTTAATCAACTCTATAGCAATTGATGTTTTTGTTTTAATATATGTTCAAACACATTTTTCTAATTCTAAAGTATTTTGATTTTTAAAGTATTAATCAAATTATAACTGCTCAAATACAATACAATGGGGATTCAATAATAGAAAATACTGTCCTCAAGAAAAGGTTTAAAATCAGCAAAGGAATGTGTCAGGGTTGTATCCTTTTACCATACTTATCTAATCTGTATGCTGAGCAAATAATCCAAGAAGCTGGCTATATGAAGAAGAATGTGGCATCAGGATTGGAGGAAGCCTCATTAGCAACCTGAGATATGCTGATGACACCACTTTGCTTGCTGAAAGTGAAGATGACTTGAAGCACTTCACTGATGAAGATTAAAGACTACAGTGTGCAGTGTGGATTACACCTCAACGTAAAGAAAACAAAAATCCTCACAACTGGACAAATACGCAGCATCACGATAGATGGAGAAAAGATTGAAGTTGTCAAACACATCATATTACTTGGGTCTACAATCAACGCCAATGGAAGCATCAGTCAAGACATCAAAAGATATATTGCATTGGGCAAATCTTGCAAAAGACCTCTTTCGCGTGCTGAAGAGCAAAGATATCTCCTTGAAGACTAAGATGTGCCTAACCAAACCCATGGCGTTTTCAATTGCCTCAGGTCCACGTGAGAGCTGGACAGTGAATAAGATAGAAGAAGAATTGATGCTTTTGAGTTGTGGTGTTGGCAAAGAATGTTGAAAGTACCATGGACTGCTAAGAGAACTAACAAGTCTGTCCTGGAAGAAGTGAGAATGGCCAGACTTCGTCTCACCTACTTTGGTCATGTTGTCAGAAGGAACCATTCTCTAGAGAAGGATGTCATGCTTGGTAAAGTGGTGGGCCAGCGAAAAAGGGGAAGGCCCTCAACAAGATGGATTGACACGGTGGCTGCAGCGATGGGCTCAGATATAGCAAGGATCGTGAGGCTGGCACAGGACTGGGGAGTATTTCTGTTGTATGTAAGGTCACTATGAGTCGGAGATGACTCGACACATAACAACAAAAAAAAAAAAAACAGGAAATATGATGAGACTTTTTGACATGTTGGAAAAGTATTTTAGGAAAATATTTAGTTGTGTACAACAATTAGAGTTACAAACTGTAATTAAAAATAGACTGCATTTATTTTTGAAACATTTTTTAAAAGATGATGGAATGTCCTGTACTTGAAAAAGATAGCTTTGTTTAAATACAAAAATTTCAAGGTTCAGGAACACATTCTTGCAGGTTATACCATTGAATCAGTAATACTATCTTGCAACTATAATCTCAATATAATTTTTTTAAAACTTCTAATTTTTGTAAAATTTTTACAGCTGATTTATAATACCTAAAGGTAATCAAGGGAGCTCTGGTAGTGTAGTGCCTAAGGCACTTGACTGTTAACCAGAAGGCTGGTGGTTCAAACCCACCAGCTACTCCTTGGAAGGAAGATGGGGCAATCTACTTCCGTAGTGATACTGCCTTGGAAACCCAAGGAGGGGTCGCTATGAGTCAGAGACGACTCAACAGCACATAACAACAGCAAAGGTAATCAAAGCCCAAGTGTCAACTCCTGGGTGAGCTTCTGGGCACTATGGTATGTTAATGAACTAGGATGTTATGCTTTTATTAGTAGTAATAGTTATTAAGTTATTAGAATAAGTAAGGCTGTTAAAAAAAGATTGGTAGAAATATTGGACACAGTGATATGAAAGAATGCAAATAGTGTAATTGTGTAACTAATGCTTGATTTAGAATCATTGTTTCATTTTATTTTGCTTAACTCTTAAAACTTAGACCATTCTGTTTATTTTCAGATGATTAAACATGTAAACATGTAAGAAAATAAAAGGTTAATTTGTTAAAATCTGTGATTTTTTACACAGTGGAAGCAAAATGTTTGATTTCTATTTCATGTTACAGTGCCACTTCTATCATGTATGGTGTGGTGTGTGTGTGTGTGTGTGTGTGTGTGTGTGTGTGTGTAGGGTGGTGGGTGGTGGGAAATCCCAGAGTAAGAGAACTCTGGGAGGGGCAAAGTGGGGAGGCCCCTCCTGTCCCATTGATAACATGTTCATTCACAGGCAGCCTGCTAAAACAAGCCTGTTGTCTCCTGCAGTCATTCCCTCTATCCTAATAAGGCTCCACCACCTCTCCCAGAACTCGGTAAGTTCGAAGTGCAGTAAAAGTCCATGTTTCTGAGGAATAATCTGAAATGGTTTTGTAGACAGTTTGTTGGAGGGTGGAGAGAGGAAGGAGTAGAAAGTGTAATTAATTATCAAATATCATTTTGCTATTGTATTTTCACAGGGAAGGAAACCCCAATGCACAAATGGTTTCAAAATAATTATTTAGGCAGTCATCGATTTTCCTCCAAGAAAGCTCTTCAGCGGGGCCCGTTGGTCTGGATACTAGCATTAGACTTAAAGTCTAGAGAGGGGGAGTTCGCAGGTGCATGTTCCGGGGTGAAGGGCTGCGCCGGCACAGCCAGTAGCGGTCTCTCCCTCTGTCCACAGCTCCGGGGGGATGCTCCTCGCCTGGCCCTGCCTCCGCTGAAGGCCCAGGGGTCCCAGGAGAGCCAAGCCGAGCACGGAGGCGGACCCGAAGGCCATGACTCCTCCCGGGGTGCAAGTGTCGCTCTCGCTGCTGTTACTGAGCGGCTGTCTCCTCGCGGCGGCCCGGAAGGACAAGGGGGCGGCTGGCAGCGCGACTCAGCAGGTCCTGGACCCCGCAGGCGGCTCCTCCGGTCATTTCGTCAGCCCAGGGCAGCATGCGTGCAGCTGGCAGCTCCTGGTGCCTGCCCCAGGGGCTGCGGTGGGCAGCCAGCTGGGGCTTAGTTGCCAAGGCCCGGACGGCGTGCGCTACCAGTGCGTCTACCACTGGGAGCCCCAGAGCTGTGCCGCCTACGCCGCCCGAGGCGCGCTCTACTGGAAGCAGGTGCTGGGCCGTCTGCGCAAGAAGCGGCTGCCCTGCCACGACCCTGCGCGGTTCAGGGCCCGCCTGTGCTCTGGCAAGAAGGGCCACGGCGCCGAGCTGCGCCTTGCGCCCCGCGCGTCCCCGCCCGCGGGCCCCACCACTGCGGGCTTCCTCCGGGAGCCCCAGCCGCGGGCCAGGGGCCGAGGGCGGCCGCGGGAGCCAGTGCGGGGTCCAGCAGCAGGGACCCCGCCTCCCGCGAGTACGCAGTCCAAAGAGAAGCGGTCTGAGAAGAGGTCCAAAGTGAGCAAGAGGAAGGGCGTCTCGAGCCCCCAGGAGCAACCCATGGGAACTGGGCCAGACCTCGACGGGCTGGACGAGAACGCAGCGCTCTCGGAGACCTACTGTGCTGAGGAGTGGCACTCTCTCTGCAATTTCTTTGTCAATATCTGGAATGGATGAGGCTTAAGGGAAGGGCTGGGGAGGCGGGGAGAGGGTCGAGAGGGATGGTATACGGAGGGTGGGGGTGGGATGTCAGTGCAGCGGGGACGGGAAGCTAACGGGCGTTGCTAGGCCAAGGGATACGGGGATGGAGTGGGAGGAGTCCAGCTTCCAGAATGGGAAGGAGCTTGGGATGCGAGCGTAGACACGGAGAATCTCAGGAGGGAAAGTAAATTGCTAAAGAGTTTCAACCCTGATTAAGAGCAGAAGAAGTAGTGCAAACAGAAGTAGGCACACCTTAAATATGCAAAAACTATAGACTAGGGGGAGGGTTGCTTGCATAGACTGAGCAGGAGGAAATGGCGTGACTAAAATGATACGAATCTTGGGTGAGAAGCAGCGTACAACATACGTGACCTGACTCATAGCGACCCGTCCTTGAGTTTCCGAGGCGATATCACTACAGAAGTAGATTGCCTCATAGCGACCGGTCCTTGGGTTTCCGAGGCGATATCACTACAGAAGTAGATTGCCCAATCTTCCAGGAGTGGCTAGTGGGTTTGAACCGCCAGCCTTGAACCGCCAGCCTCCAGGTTAGCAGTCAAGTGCCTTAGGCACTAAGCCACTAGAGCTCCTTGTACTGTTTAACACATTGATATTCAAAGGATGACCTGAGTCAGGATGAATTGTTCAGAGATGTCTCACCCAATCAGCGGCAAGACTACGGTCTTTTTTTTTTTTTTGGTGAACTTGGATGTTGGATGTCATTTGGTGTTATAGGTGATCTCTATGGGGATAGAAGCCATTCCGAAGTAAAAACTAACTAAAGAAAGACTTTCAGGATGGTTCACTTTCGGATTAATCCTTCAGAAGCCCTGAGTTGTGAAAGAGTGATGCCTAGTGTTCTGCAACTTTCCCATTAACTTTCTAAAGTCAGAAGTGAATTGTAGAAGCTGAGTGAGTGCCCCAGCAGATTTTTTTTTAAAAAAACAATTCTCTTGATATTTGATAATATTTTTTAAAACACCTAAAACTGACCGTTACAGAAGTTGTACCTCTCTGTTTCATGAAATTAATTGTTAACATATTTCATTTTTAGTATGATGTAATGATATACTTGGCACATATTTGATGTCTAATAAAAACTATGGATAGATTTAAAGAACTGGCAGGGCAATGGACATTCTGCTTGGATTTGATTTAGCTTTTGAGGACACTTTGAACAACTTGTGTTGCTAAGCACACCTTGAATTGTTGGGAAAAGACATGGACTAAGGAGTCCGCATAAGGCAAGAGTCACAAACTGGCAGTTCCTGGGCCCTGTCATTGCTTTGTTTGGCCTCTCCCTCCCTCCCCCCCCCTCCCTCCCCCTCTTTCTCCACTTCCTTCCTCCCTCCCTCCTCCCTCCCTTTCTTTCTTTCCTTCTCCCACGCTTCCTTCTAATTTGGACTTGCCAGCATTTATTAATTAGGTAACTTCACATAAAAATTCAGATTTCTCACTTGTCAAGAAAAATCAGAAGATATTACAACAGTGGGCTGCCTTCCCACATGGTAACAAATAGCTGACTGCCCACTTTTAGATTAGAAATGTTTTCTAAAATCCTCTGTTGTTCCTACACATCTTACTGGTCAACTTTATTTACTTATATTACTGGCCTGAGCCCACTAGACATTTGAACTACTCTCCAGGTTTTTACCTTTTTCCTCAATTTTTGTCTTTCTCGCCCCTTCCCCTTTTAAAATAGTGATAGATACAATAATTTTAAAGATATTAAAATTTCTGGCTTCTTTCCCCTCTGTGTCTTGCCTCCAGAAAATGTAAAATATTTCATACCTATTCTGTATATTCTTGTAGTCACAAAATTGGCAAAACATTCAGATTGAATATAGTTTTAGGCCAGATTTATGAGGTCACATTCTGAGAAACACCATTAGATAAAATTCATCTTGGCCAGGAAAGGAAGCTAAGAGTAGTTGGAGTTCAATCCTTAAAGATATTGACCAATGTACACATTCTCCAAAAAGCTGGCAAAAACGGCATCATCAGGAAAGGTATTAGAAATGAAACAACCTTGGCTAGAATCATGGTTTGTTTTGTTTTGTTTTTTTACCTCTCCAGACAAGACCACTGCTAATCCCTGCCTCTGTGCCCTTTGGCAGTCTGACCAATTTACCTCTCTCTACAAAAGAGGGGAAGGCCAAACCCTGGAGGCACAGGTCTAGAGTTTGGGTTGCTACTACTTCTCCTCTGCTCCTCTAGTCTTTAAGAACAGCTGTATCAGCTGTTCCTCTGGAAGGGAATAGGGACTTACAGAGATCAGCTGCTTGCAGAGGAAGGGTAATGGAACCACCCACCACCAACTTCCTGAGTGACCCTGACTAAGTTCCAGTGTCTTTGAGTCTGTACTTTGAGGGGAATTGGACTCGATTAAGTATGAGGACCCTAAGGTACACTGCCAACATTCTAGAAACCTATGCATAGTTTTACATAGAGATGATATGTGAACATCAACAAGTGCTATGTGTAGTATTTAAAAAGAAAAAGAGTCAGTTGAGTCTGACTCCTAGTGATCCTATAAGATACAGCCATAGGGTTTCCAAGACTGTAAATCTTTATGGAAGTAGATTGCCTCATCTTTCTCCTGTGCAATGGCTGATGAGTTCAAACTGCGGACCTTTTGGTTAGCAGCCAAATGCCTTCACCACTGCACCACCAGAGCTCCACATGTGTAGTATACCACATGCTATATACACCAAGAAAGATCATGGAGTTGAAAAAGATTGAGAGAAAGACAACCAAAATGGCCAGGGAAATAAAGGAGGCTTTTGTATCTGGAGCATGTAGAAAGATTTGGAAAGACAGGCTAGAAGGCCAAGCTTGCAGCTGGGAGAGAAAAGGATCAAAATCTCTAAACAAGGAGAGTGGCCATGGGGAACATGGGTAGTTTCCCCTTCAGGCACCGTCAAGAGTGAGGGGAAAGTTTACTGACTGAAGTAGCAAGGCACCTGTGCTTGATGAATGGTAGGCAGAGGATTTACTTAAAATATTAAACCTTCTTGTTCTGGTTCTAGTGCCCATGTTATTTAGCACAGAGATGATAGGGAAAAATGGAATTATATCCATGAAATATAAGCATGGATTTGCCTTCCACTCCTTCCCTGGACTAGGCATAATCTTTTTTTTTTTCCCCTTTGTTTTTATATCACAAAAATAGTAAGGATTTTAGTAACGGACAATATAGTTTTTTAAAAAATAGGGTTTGTTTATTAATAGTTTTTTTTTATTTTATTAATGGGCAATATAGTTTTAAATATATATAGTTTTAAATAATGTAGTTTTAAAAAAACTACCGAGTGTGTCAGTGACTAATCCTTTTAATAACTTACTTTCTTTTTATTTTTAACTTTCTATTGTGATTTTTGTGAAAATTTACTTAGCAAATTGTTTCCCATTCAACAATTCATATGCATTTTGTTTTGTAATCTTCACAATGTATGAGCATTCTTTGCCAGACTGGCAGTGTACCAATGTGAGTGATCAACATGGTGGCATTGAGGAAGAGGAAGACATAGAGACGTACATGGGAGGTACAGACAACAAAGATGTACCCTTTTGCACATACAGTACTGTGTTGTCA